TTCTGAACATGGAAAAATAATACATTCAGTGAACAATTTTTTTAATGAATTGGAGCGCACAACAGGCCCGATAGTGGCCTAGGTGTATTTCTTCGGATTTGATGTAGTATACATCCTCCTATCAACCTAACCTAAGTCAACAAATTTATTAAATATGCTAGAATTACACATAAATACTTTTTTTCTTGAAAATAAATCACATTTAATATTACTAATTGGTATAGAGTATCATAAGGCCGGCCACGTCCTACTATAGTTTCTTACTTGTTTTATTTAATATTTTTTTTCACTTGACAATAAATCCTCCATACTGTGTACTTTATATACATATGTATGTGAGTAATACTTCCACAGAGTGAAAATAAATAAAAATCTGTATATTGCATCTTTATAAGATGATTTCTAAAAATTGTATTATTTAATCAATTGTAAATTCCTAACTATATACCTATGGCATATCCTAAGACAAATGATTAATATGTAATGAAGTCGTGACAAACATAAATAGTTTTATGTTCTTTTACACAATTCTAACCAAGTAATTTCGATTCAATTATTTAACAAATATTTAAGTTCTCACTTGTTTGATAAACAATAAACTTTGTTTGTATTGACGATATAAATAAAATACATATTTCTGTATGTACAATAGGGTGTCTCCAAAATGGAAGTTGCTGATGTTCCGTGTTCTAAAAATTGTTGTTACGATAATATTTGATGAGTTATATCAAAGGATAGATAAGTCCTTTTTGAGGTTTTCATGATTTTTTTTTAATTTTTCATTCAATGGAAAGATATAAAACTTCGATATGTACATATATGATATGCATGCATATATATGTATGAAGCTCAACAAATATTGACGCCAGAGCAAAAATTATAAGAAACGATATCATCTATTAAATTTTAATTTTAGTTGGGAACATAGACACTTTAATTTTCCTCCAGAGACCATCCTAATGTAGATATGTATGTATGTAAACATTTTTAGAACTTTTCATGTGTAAATACAACACTCGATAATCATTTAATTAATACCACATCACTTAGTATATATTTTAAGCATTTGTAGTATAAAAAGTAAATATTTGAGTTTTCTATTAAATGTAGAATGATTTGAAATCAAAAACCTTTCAAGTAAGTTGATAAGAAACAAGGTTTTTGGAAAATTATACAGGCCAACCATTTTTTTTTTAATTACGAGACTAGAATATACATTTCTGAGATGTACTAAATACGAAATTGGGCTGAGAATTTCACATCTGGTTATTGAGATTTTGTTTTTTGTCATATCTGAGACTTTATAACAACTCGAAGACAGGTTAGGTTATACATACATATGTATGTTATACATATGAGAAGATATCTATAAAAAAAAGAATATATAACAAAGGTAATGACACCTGATGACAATGCAATATTATGTTCGAAATTGTTTGATTATTTTGGTTTGTTAGTTTAGTTAAGAATTTTTAACTGAATTTTGGACCAGTTCCTGTATTTGAAATTGGCTGTGCTAATTGTAAAACCCAAAAATATTGGTCTCTCTAGTATGGCTTTTGAGTTCATAACTATGTTAAATGTTCTAGTATCTCTATTAAAATCGGTAAAACTTGGTTTTATATAATTCTAAGTTATTTTCGATTTTCGTAATGATCTGGCCTCATTTGAAGCTAGCCCCCATACAGAGCCCTTATAAACACATGTAACACGATGTAATTCTGTTTAAATAACTTTTATGTAAACATTTTTACCCTCGGCTCCTTTAGAAAATCAATTTTGGTTTTGTCAACAAATTGCTAAAGTATTTTGGAATTAAGGTAAAAAACAATATAAACTCTTTATTATTAAAAATCCATATTTTTATCATACTCACTGGTGTGGGGTATCATATGGTAGGCCATGCGCGACTATACATTCTTGATTGTTTTTTTTATACCCTACACCACTATAGTGGGGAGGGTATTATGCGTTTGTGCTGATGTTTGTAACAACCAAAAATATTAGTCCTACAGCCACCTTAAGGAATACCAATCGGCTCAGAATCACTTTCTGAGTCGATTTAGCTATGTCCATCTGTACGTCCATGTAAACCTTGTGCGCACTTTACAGGTCGCAATTTTCAAGATAATTAGATGAAAAGAACGAAGCCTTTTGAAAATGATTAAAATCGGTCCATTATTTCGCCCCATACAACCGTACCCCCCAATAGGGCTTTTAAGCTCATAAATATGTTAAATGTTTTTGTATCACCACCTGCCCCCATTTAACCCCTCTAACAAATTGTTAAAATACTTCTGAATTAAGGTAAAAATGAAATTAAATACATATCATTAAAAAAATAATCACTATTTTTAACATTATCATATCGTCGGTCATGCCCGACTATAAATTCTTGTTAAAAACATGTTTTTAATAGAAAAATTTGTATAAAGTCGTATGAGTATTATTCACGTGTAACAAAAATCACTCATACGCCTACATCATTAAAAGTTTTTAATGTAGTGCGCTATGGTTGGAATTGCTTGGAATGATTTTTTATTCAAAATATTGCTTTATGTCTTAAATAATATAAAATTTAATTTTAACTATACTGATTGACATTTAGGATCCATCCTAATGTAAATATTTGTGTTTCCACACCATTGTATCTGAGGGTTATTGTTAAAGAGTTAAGCAAAAATCCTAGCTTTTTTTCATATCAACAGAAGTAAAAATCATTCCTAAAATTCTTTTGCACAATTGTAATATTACACAAATGCAAACATAAGACAAGTATTTTTATTATTGGAATCTCTTTAATACCAACAAAAAAGTGGACACAGCAAATTCCTATTCATAAAATAACACTCATGTCGATGAGGGCAATCATGTTGCTTATTATTAGGTGACATTTTTGTTAGTTTGAAATGATGCTAGCATCCATTTTTATTAAAAAGGGGTAAAGTAAAGAAAAATATTTACTTACGGGGTTTTTTTCTTTTTTCATGTAATTGTTAAGGCTAACTTGTCCCATTTTGAAATGCCAACAGGAGATTGACCGATTAGTTTTATTTTTAACCTTAAGATAATTTATAAATAATTTAAAAAAATTACGGAACTTTGCTAATAAAAATATACTGAGGAGAATTCATAATAAAAAGGACAGAAAACATCTATTTTCGTTTTTAATTTTAATCAAATTTACTACACATACTACAGTTTCAAATTATTTCTCAATTCAAGCACTTTCTGATAGAAAACCAATTCCGCTCCAAAAATATCAAAATATGTTAAAATTTTCTTTACATAATTTATAGTCCCGGCATACTAGAAGTAGAACCTCTATTTCCCCGGATTGCAATTACAACAATATGGGGAAGATCATCAAGGTAACATGCACCGGGGGAGAAAAATGACTGTGAGGCTGAAAGTTGTGAATGAGTTAAATTAATGTTTTTTCTTGAATGTGTCGTATGAATGAGAAGTATGCTGGGTTTAATGGTGATCTAATTCGGATGACTCTATAAATATTCACTTCTTTGTCCAGGTATGGTCAGGGTTGGCACAATGGATTCAGCATAAGCATAGGAAAATGGCCAGTGGATGATAAAAATCACTTTAGTATTTTTGCGAATTATTTTTTTTTAAATTTTGAGAACATAAAAATAAATAACAAATTATAGTGATGAACATGTCAGAATAATAAACTGAAATGTCGTTACACAGAAGTTTCACGTAAAGTCGAGAAATATTGTACATCAAACTATTTTTTCTATTTTAAAACTTAAAATATAATGTAAACTTTAAATAAATTTACCTCTTTAAGGAACGTTAATTAATAATATTAAATAAAATAAATAACATATTTCAAACGTTTGATTTCGTGTTTGTTGGGTTATTTCATCTATGGGGAATATACTAATACAACCATAAGTTGTTCTACTAAGAGCGGGTTTTTGAGTTTGCAATCAAATGCCAATTAATAATCAGATTAGTTAATCTAAACATAAATTTAATCTCCTTTGATGTTTTTGAGTACAAGATTAAACTTCGCAATGTTGCCATACAAAACAACAAAAATATCACTGTTTGTTATCAAAACAATGCATGTTTTATAAAAAAGAAGAAGACAATTGTAAATTTAATATGAAATTAATGAAAACTTAAATTTAAAACCAAAAAAATTTATTTTGGGTGTGCATAATTTATACCAGTCAATAAATAGAATATTTTTATGTTTATATTTATAAAAATTGTATTATTTTTTTGCATCAGCTGTTTACACTTTTGCATTTCATGCTTAAGTTTAAACCAGCTTCATTAGGAGCTTAAACTTGCAAACAAAATTAACTAATTGAGTACTCAAAGACAACTTTCAACGACAACTTTTCACCTAAAGATTGGCCCTTAATATACAATTTGTATAATACAAAACAATTTTTGTACACAAACTTAGAACAAAAAGTTCTATCAGCTTCTATTTTGGAATATATATTTCAAGCTTGGATAAACAAAATTTAAGCCAAATCGTGCAAGGTTTAGAATGAATTTGCAATGTGGTGTAAACTGAATACATAAAATAATTCTACCTAATTGTTTGAAATTACAATTAGAAAGATCTTTTATATGACATCAAATAAAACATGGGTTCTTTCCAAGAAGAAATTCAATTTTGAGAAATAATCCTTTAAAATGATTAAACTTTCATTTTTGCAACTTATGTTTTAGAACAACTTAAATTTGCAGTTTTTAATAAAATTTTAATTAATAAAACAACATATTTGTTTTCATTCTCAATTTTATAAAATTTTGCGATATATCACATTTTGTCACATATTACAGTTTATAGTAAATTTTTCCAGAATTTTATAATAAATTTATATTCACATAAATTGAAATATTTAATCCTCTATTAAAAGCCGTTATATTAAGCATCCTATTGTTGCCAACCTTATATAAATTAAAAAAAAATATATTGGCAATATTACATACAGATGTTAGTAGAATTTATTTTATACAGTACCAGCTATCAGCTGATTTTTATGAGTTTGTTTACAAATTTGCCGGCGGTAGAATTAACAAAAAATATAAATTTTATTAATTTTTATAAAAAATAAAGGAAAATGCGTCTGGTAAGTTAAATAATAATAGATATATTTAAAAATAATATTATTACAATGAATATTTTTCAGTATTGCCTTAGTAATGACTTGGCCAAACCGTGCTATGTGATCACCTTCAAGGGATTACGAATAATGTTAGATTGTGGTTTAACTGAACAGACAGTATTGAATTTTTTGCCTCTGCCATTTGTGCAGAGCATGAAACTTTCCAATTTGCCCAATTGGATACCCAATCGTGAGCATGATCCTCAAATGGACGGTGAACTAAAAGAATGCTGCGGACGGGTATTTGTAGATTCGTCGCCGGAATTCACACTGCCCATGGACAAAATGATGGATTTTAGTGAAATTGATGTGATATTAATATCAAATTATCTTAATATGTTGGCTTTGCCCTATATAACCGAAAACACAGGTTTCAAAGGAAAGGTATATGCCACAGAACCAACCCTTCAGATTGGTCGATTTTTCCTAGAGGAATTAGTGGAGTATATAGAAGTGGCTCCCAAGGCCAGTACAGCACAGCTGTGGAAAGATATGTTGCATTTGTTACCATCTCCTCTAAGCGAGGCGTTTCGTCCAAAGAAATGGAAAACTATTTTTGGTCTACGCGATGTCCATAACAGCTTGGCACGAGTTACTATTATGGGCTACGATGAGAAATTGGATATCTTAGGGGCTTTCATAGCCACACCAGTAAGTTCTGGCTATTGTTTAGGATCTAGTAATTGGGTATTGAGTACAGCCCATGAAAAGATTTGTTATGTCAGTGGGTCTTCAACGCTGACAACACATCCGCGACCTATAAACCAGTCGGCTTTAAAACATGCTGACGTATTAATCATGACAGGATTGACACAGGCACCCACAGTCAATCCAGATACTAAATTGGGTGAATTATGTATGAATGTGGGTGAGTTGGATAAAAGTAGATAATAGCAATTAAATTAATAAAAATATAGCAATAATCAGAGCAGGTATAATTTAATAACATTTTTATACAATAGCACTGACAATTCGCAATAATGGTTCTGCTTTAATACCATGTTATCCATCGGGTGTTGTCTACGATTTATTTGAATGTTTAACACAAAATTTGGAAAATGCTGGACTTAACAATGTACCAATGTTTTTTATTTCGCCGGTTGCTGATAGTTCATTGGCTTATTCCAATATTTTGGCCGAGTGGCTAAGTTCAGCAAAACAAAATAAAGTTTATCTTCCAGATGATCCATTTCCTCATGCCTTCTATTTGCGTAACTCAAAACTAAAACACTACAAACATGTATTTTCAGATGGATTCAGTAAGGATTTTAGACAGGTATATGTTAATCATTTTTTTATTATTATAAAATATTAATTAATTCTTTTTAAGCCTTGTGTGGTATTTTGTGGGCATCCGAGTTTACGATTTGGCGACGCTGTACATTTCATTGAAATGTGGGGAAATAATCCTAACAATTCTATTATATTTACAGGTCCTTTATTGATTAAAATATTTTTTTAAATAATTAATAAATACATATTTTATAGAACCGGACTTTCCATATTTGCAAGTATTGGCGCCTTTCCAACCTTTGGCTATGAAAGCATTCTATTGCCCAATTGATACTTCTCTAAACTACCAGCAAGCAAATAAGTTGATTAAAGAACTTAAACCTAATGTTTTAGTTATTCCTGAAGCATACACAAAACCACACCCGAATGCATCGAATCTATTTATCGAACAGCCAGTAAGTTGTATGAAGAACTCTATTAATAATTATCAGATTTTACTAATATTTAACAGATCTCACTGAAATTTTAAGCACTAAAAATGTTTATTTAGACCTCTCATGTGATTTATCTAAATATTTGATTTTATATTATTTTCTAGGACAAAAAAATTATAACATTTAAATGCGGGGAAATCATACGTTTGCCGCTGAAACGTAAACTAGATCGAGTGTTCCTTACATCAGAAATGGCCCAAAAGATTGTACCACGTGACGTTGGCAATGGCGTGACTATCTCCACCATAACAGGCATATTACAAGTTAAGGATAAAGTTCACAATATAAAACCCTGTAGTGATGAAAACAGCGAACAACCTAGTGGTAGCAACAAATTACCACCTCCGACACGTGAAGATGTTTTGAAAAATGTCAAATATGAATATGGTACACTTGATGTAGACATGCTAATAAAACGACTCACACAAGATGGCATTACCAATATTAAAATGGAGAGACAAGGCAACATTCTGACACTACATCTGGTCAATGAGGACACGACAATTAAGTTTGAAGAAAATGAAACGCATATTGTATGCGGTGGCAAGCAGTCGTTACGTTTAAAATTAAGAGATTCTCTATTAAAATGCTTACAAAGCTTTTAATTTTTTAATAACTTCCATTAAATATGACAAGTACAACAATTAAATTATCTTTTTTTTAATAAATAATCAACAATTTATTTTTGTAACTCTAAAACATTATTGCAACGATGACAAATGGTGTCTTCTTGTAAAACGGCATGGCGTCGACAACGGGGACATAATGTAGCTTCTATTTTATCGATATCTACCATGAACTCAGATGTAACATCCGTACTTTTTCGTAGAGTAACTGAACCGACTTGTAATATTTCACATAATTCAGAGTCAATTGTGGGTTGTTCAGTTATTGGTTGCAAATGCTTTAATAGTTCAATATTATTTTCATTACATTTAACTGTAACATTCAATAGCCAGGAATTTTTTTCACTAGCTTTTTGATTTATCAAACGTTTTACATGTAAGGCAGTATCGACTACGTCTTCTACTAATGGGTTTTTCCAACTGCTATCAGATGTAATTTGCTGCTGATGGAAAGGCGTTGTGGGATCTGCAATTATTTTACATGTCATTTGATAAAATTATGTTATTCTCACTTATATTTACCATAATAACTCCAACTTTCCTCAACTAAAAATGGTGCTATGGGCCACAATGCTTTGCTCAACACGGTGTAGCATTTCTCCAAGGTATAACGTATGTCTGCAATTTCAGCTGGTGTACCACAGTACAAACGGTCTTTGATCAAATGAACATATATGGCAGATATTTGATTGGTAACGAAATTTTGTACACTCGCCACAACGCGATTATATTCATAACTTTCATATAAAGTGAAAATCTGAAAATAAAAAGGAAATTTATAATTTTGATGAATACTATTCTCTTTTTTGTACAAACCTCTTTTTCAAAATCAAATAATTTATTTAGTAAATAACGATTTAGATAGATTTGTTTTTCAACAGCAATGCTATTCATGTTATTGGAGCGTTCACCAATTGCACCATTTAGATAGCGTAAAGTAGAACGAATTTTACTAAGGTTTTCTGCAGATTGTTGCAGCAATTTATCGCTGACTGTAATGGCCATATGTTGTGTGCCATGCGAAGCCACCCACCATCTATAATAGTTAAATTAAAATAAATAAATTTAATTAGAGAACAATTTTATACCTTAAAACATCAACACCATAGGTTTTTCGAATATCTGTAGGTGAAATAACATTTCCTAGAGATTTCGACATTTTGTGACCTTTTTCATCTACTGTGAATCCATGCACAAAAAGTGCCCTAAAAATAAATTTGTATTAAATGTAAATTATACGTAAAATAATTGCGTTTATATATACTTATATGGTGAACAGTTTCTTGCACCAATACTAGTTAATAGGGAAGATTGAAACCAACCAGTAAATTGATCATAACCTTCTAAATACAAATCTGCTATTTGATGGTCTTTTAAGACGTGGGACCAAGTACTACCGGAATCAAACCAAATATCGAAGATATCCATACCTTTTTCGACCTCACTACTGTTTATATTTAAATTTGTTAAAAGATCACGAGGTAAAAGTTCTTCCACAGACATTGACCACCAAAAATCTATATTACCTTCTTTGGTAACTAAATTACAAATATGCTTTAAAATTGTTCTGAAACCAGGAAAACAAGAACGTTATGAGGATAATTAATATACATAAAAAATACATATTTACATTTATATGTATGTACATACTCATCACATATCACTTTTCCTGTCTTTTTATGATAAAATACTGGTATTGGTACACCCCAGGATCTTTGTCTTGATATACACCAATAGGGACGTTTCATAACTTGTGTCCTTAAAGCATTTTTACTCGCCTCGGCATTAACACGTGGATATATTTCAATTTTTTCGATCTTAAAGTAAACCATTAAAACTAAAATATTTTTAAAAATTTAAACGATTAGTATTTTTTCAGACCTCTTTAACAGCCTTTTCCTTAAGCTCCGATGTATTTATAAACCATTGCTCACTAGCTCTTATTATAACCGGTTCTTTTGTACGCCAGTCTAGCGGATAACTATGAGTAAAGGTATCCGAAAATAGGACATCATCTTTTATATTTTTCAAAACCAAATCATTTCCTTCTTTAAGCACATTTTTGCCCTTTAAATAACTAGGTGCATCGGAGTTGTAAATACCTTCTTCGTTTACTAGAGATTTCTAAATATTCAAGTAGAAACAGATAAAATGTTGAGAAATTAAGAGAGCAACATACGCGTTGGATGTTGTTTTCTTTAATTTTTCGAATAGCAATTAAACATACAAATTTGAAGGTGTTTTGGCTTTTAAATAAAGGTATTTCATACGATATTTTTCGTTTGTTGCTCAAAAAGTCACAGATTCTGATTCTACCGTCAAAAGTGATAATTTTGTTCATATGATTTGGAAGAACCTCTTAAATCAAAATTTATAAACCAAAATTTACTTACTACTGGAATTTTTTTAGATAAGCATATTAGAAAATCGTCGGGACCATGAGCTGGTGCTGTATGAACTAGGCCTGTGCCCTTAGTGTCTTGTACATGAGAAGCATCAAGAAAAGGCAATGAATCCTCATTTTCGTAAATAGGATGCTGATAAGTACAGTGAATCAAGTCAGTTCCTAATAAAAACATAAAATATATAAAATTTTTAATTTGTGATTCGAACTTAAATTTCACCTTTTATAGTTTGCTTCACTGTGCATTCAATTTTTGTGCTTTTTACAAAATCCACAATTAAATTAGTAGCAATTAGATAAAGTTCCGTTGGCACAGAGTTCTTTGTGTCAGTTGTCAACTCAACGATAGCATATTCCAAGTTTGGATTAAAACAAATTGCCTGATTACTTGGCAATGTCCATGGTGTTGTTGTCCATATTAAAGCAAACAACTTTTGTTGATCCACAAGTTTTATTGATGGTGGTAAAGATTTTAATGCAAAACGAACATAAACCGAAGGACTAATAAAATTTGGGTCATACTCGAGTTCAGCTTCCGCTAAGGCAGTTCTAAAGAGATCAAAACTTTAAATCACAGCTGTATTTTATAAAACTAATTTACAACTACCTAGATGATGGTGACCAATACACTGGTTTCAAATCTCGATATACTAAAGCTTTTTTGTAAAAATCTAAAAACAAGTGCAATTGATTACATATAAAGTCGGGATTAAAAGTAAAATAAAGCCGGTCGCTGTTTTGCCAGTCAGATAAAATGCCCCATGAACGAAATTCGTCCTTCTGTCGGGCAATGGCATCCAAGGCAAATTGTCTTGCTAAAAAGAAAGAAAATGTACTTTAAAATTTGTAAAATACCAACTATAATTTTTTTATCAATTTACATTTCGATCTTATAATATTAGGTGATTTCTCATTGTTCTTGCCGTTAGTGGAGGCCAAAGCCTTAAGTTCTATTGGCAGTCCATGGCAATCCCAACCAGGAATATAATGAATCTTTTGTCCTTTTACCACATGATGCCTAATTGTAATATCCTTAAGAATCTGTAAACAAATTATATGAATATTATTTATTTTTCATATACATACCCAATTATTAACAAACCTTATTAACAGCATGACCCATATGTAAATCACCATTTGCATACGGAGGACCGTCATGCAATATATATGATGGTTCCTTAAGATTCTCGTCCTGGTATTGATATGTTTGGGCAAATGTTGTCTGCAATACAGGAGGTTCAATGTCGCTCATTATAAGAATCTTAAGACAATAAGTTTATTTTACTCACAGAAATCAATTTCTTTTCAAGTTCCTGGCGTTTAGCAGCGCTAAGACGTGCTGGAAATTTTGTTTTTGGCAAATTAATTGTTGTAGTATATTTGATTGGTTCCTTGGCTGCATGTTTAATTGAATAATAACGCGATATAGATGGAAATCGAATAATTCTCAACATGTTTGCCAAATGTTTACATAAATTTTATAATATTATCTTCTTCTTTTTTAACAATCATTCACTAAGTTTTGCAGCAACCGGTAAAATATGTTTTGTTGTTATTGCAATATGCATGTGAAGAAAGCATATATACATAACCGACTAGCGTTTAAATTTTAAACCACTAAAAATTAATTTGCGATTTTGGGAATTTAAAAATACCAAAACAAGAAAAATGATTTTAAATAAATGACCAGTTTGTTGCGGTATACCTCACCGCACCGAGGGTTTTATCCTCTGGCCACCCCAAAAAAAAAAAAAAAAAAATTTTGCGTGGGGGGACCTTAGGGAAACGGTCGGGAGGAGGCCAGAAAATCAAAATTGCCTCTACTCCCTGTTTTGAAATCAATGGGGAGGGGCTTTCGGCCAATGGAGACACCACCTCCTGCCCGAGTCCCGGTGTAATTCAATATAAAAAGGGGAGGGGCTTACGGCCAATGGAGACACCACCTCCTGCCCGAGTCCCGGTGTATTGTTTGAATATTTAGTGGGGAGGGGCTTACGGCCAATGGAGACACTACCTCCTGCCCGAGTCCCAGTGTTCAATTTGTTTTCATGTTAGTATTGTGGTTAATTTTGTTAGTTTTGTTTGGTTTTTCTGGTTTTTTTTGTTAGTATGTTAGTTTATTAGTTTTGTTTTTAAGTTGTGATTTTCGTTTGTATTTTTGTTGCTGCCATTATATCCCAGAAAAAAGTGTGGAAGGAGATGTTGTATTTTCATCACAACTGTAACCCGAAGTGCTTCAAGTTCAGGTGAAGAGCCTATGAATTTTGCATTGGCATGTCATTGGAGGGATGTTGTTCATTTTTGACAACTTTGAACTACCTCTAATTTTATTTTAGAAGCAAAAAAAATCCGATATTTGGATGTCAAAAATAATCCAAAATTTTTTCAATGACATAGGGTTCATTGGTTTTTCACCAAAGTTTGATGTACTTCGAGTATGTTATTTGTAGTGGCTTTTCTACATCTCTTTTCTCACTTTTAACTGGGTTTTCATTTGTAAGGAAATATTTGGTTTATAAAAGCGAAAAATATGTAGTCGCATTTTTGGATGTGATTAAGATGTCGTTTGTAAAGTATGACATCAATTATTTTTTTGCTGGGATATGTTGTTTATTGATAGGCTGGAAAGAAAAAAATAAAAGTATTAATAAAAACCCACAATAATCAGGAACGATACAATTTACTTTACCTGTCCCATGAGTACTCCTTTTATTTTTAAGCTGAAAAGAAATGAAAAATACAAATTAAAAATAAAAAAATTGCCAAAATACTTACCTCCATGTGCTTGTCCGTCCAGCTGTTGTCAGAATTAATGAAAACAGGGTTGCTCAAATGTCAAAAGTAGTAAAAGTATTGGCAACGCAACGTATATCGTAAAAGTGTAGGGGTGTATTTCATTCATGCAGACATGGGAATGTGTATTTTTTTGTAGTAAAAAAATTAAAAATAATTGAATGAAAATACTATTGCTAAAAATTATGAGCTCCTAGTACACAAGGCGGTAGAAATGCATGGAAAAGAGGGAAAGCGCCTTGATTGGGGGAGTTTAAGCTTGAATTACTTATTTGGCCGTGCAAATAAGTAAGAAAAGTCCGCCAAGTAGGAAAAATCCGCCAAATATAAAAATAAATAGAAACGAAATTAATTATATATATGTAGTTAATTATATGTAGTAATAAAAATAGCGCGGTTTACATGATCGGCGGACAGAAAAAGGCTACGACATGATGAGTAGGGGAAATATGTAAATAAATACCTTATGTAGCAGAATTTTAGGAGAATGAAATTTGCGGGAAATTATATTTACATAAAAGTAGGGGAAGACAAAAATAGAGTATTTAAGCTCACGATAAAAATGAAAATAGCACAGTTGGTTAAAAAAAGTTAAGTGAGTGTGCAAAAGTGTTTTAAGAAAAAGTAAATTTAAAAAAGTTTAAAAAAAAAAAAAGGAAGAAAGTTTTTTTTTGAAAATAAGGAAAAAGAAATGGACTGTAGTCTGAGATTTAGTGAATTATAAATCGGTAAATTTAATGTCCTTAAAATAATCCTGGAGGATCAAATAATTATAAACGTATTTGAACGACAATAATAAAAACGTAAGTTTTTATAGAAATATAGCATAGTGTATAGGAGTAAAAATGATTTTTGTTAATCCTTTATAGCTGGCTAATTTACAAGAAGGAAGTCACGCAATACTGGAAAGTCTGCCATCCAAGTAATTAGCCAGGTAACAATTTTTATTTATTCCTTTTAAATAATTTGCGGAATAAGGCAGTAAAGTCAAGAAAACTGCAATAACAAAAAAAAAAAAAAAAAAACTACCAACCAATCAATCCAATTAAAACGGAAATGCCTTGATAATTATAAAAAAAAAAGGAATTACATTTTTATATTTAAATAAGTATTAAAAACGTATTTAGTGTATGGAATAATAACAATTATATATGTAGCTCACTTAATTTAACCAACATAAAAGTCATATAAAATCTTCCTTAAGTATTATCACATTATTATATGAAAGAAATTTTAAACTTGTCATATAGAAGGCCAGTTACAAACAAACAAGAGATTTAGAACCAACTATTAAAATATAAAGAGTCCAGAAATAGTTTTTTTTTTAAATAAGAGAAAAAGAAATTAGGTAGATTTAAGATACGTTAAGGTATTTGTGGAATCGTGAAAAATAATATTGTAAATCGTAATAACGTCCAGTAGTTCTGTGTATGTTTGGTTGAATCACGTGAAGCTCGCGTTAAATTGAAAAGAAAAAGAAAATCAAGAATTAGAAAGAGAGTACATATATATATCTTAGGATTATTTACCAGAGCTTAAGAAGAGCGCCTAAAAAGAAGCCTTTTGAAAGTGTCAAGGTCAACATATGACTCAGGGAGCTCCTTTAGTTGTATACTATAGAAACGTCAGAATCCGAATTAAGGAAGTAGAAACTTAAGCCCTGAAGCAGAAAAAAATTGAAAATATAAGATATATATAGTGAAAGAGTTTATGCGGTAAAAGGTTAAAAAAATTATTGAAAAAATTAATAAGAAATACAGTGATTCGGTCAAATTATTAGGTTTTTGTATGTGTTTAGATTTAAGTTGTATATTAAGTTTATTTTATTATCTAATAAAAATGTATATTATGAATTGAAATTAATACTTACAATGTTGGTCTAATTAAGTAAAGGTAATGGCGATGATAGACCGGTAAGTGGTTAAAAGGTCAGGTGGGTTTCGGGTCGCTGGAAAGAAAATTCTGTGGATCCATCAGCGACAAGGTTGGGAGGGCAGATACAGAGGACAACATCTATCTCTGTAAAGGAAATGTGATTAATGTGGTTCAGATTATGTAAGTTTTGTTTGTGATTTGAATACCTTTTTGTTTTGTGTAGAATACGAGTTTGGCGAGAAAGGGTTGGAACCTCCTGAGGTCAGTCATGCCAGTTAGTCGGAAACCTCGCCTTACAACCGGTTCGTAACACAAATGGCGCCCAATCAAATGCGATAGTTCAGAATATTTTCGTCAGATTCGGCAGAAATGTTCCAAACTATAAAAGGAAACATGTATAAACATCGACACATGTAAAAATAGCCCAGATAGTGTAGTAAATAGCCCAAAAGATCGCGAGAAACGTTGAAATGTTTATCCATATAGCCGCCTAAATCAGATTGAATAAGAGTGTTGTATATGAGTAAAAATCAACAGTATTTGACCGATTATAGAATACTTACCGGGATAAATCGCTGCAGCTTAAAGTAAATACGAGTTATCTTTAATTGTGTGGCGAAATATTTCCGAATTACCTTAAGTTTTCGTTTTGTTTTCCTTTTTTCAAATTATTAAAATGTATAGAAACGGAATATTGTCTGATAGCCTCTCGTTACAACTAAGTATACGAGGTTAGTTGTATCAGATAATATCCGTAACAGTCGTTGTCACATCAGATGACAATATAATGATGTAGCCGATTGATCATACAGGAAAATATGATTTGAAACCGCTTTAAATTAGCCAACCACATTAAGCATATTCAAAATAGCAACCGCCTTGACACACCCATCCGTTTATCATTGCCAAAACCTGAAAAATTTAATATTTGATATCCATTAATACAAATTCAATTTTAGAGTTTATAAAAAATTAGTTCAGATTCATAATTAATCTTTATCTTGTTTATTTTCCATCTACATTATTCATTTATTTTGATTGTTAGTTTATTTATTCGTTAGTTTACCTTATTTATGAGTTATTTTGATCTTTATTAGTATATTTATTAGTCTAATTATTATTATTATTATTTATTAAGTTAATCTTTATGTATTTCATTTATTCACCAGTATAGCACGATTTAATGTATCTTATTTATATTTTTATAGCATTTAGTAGTTATTTGATTTGTTATTTATATATTTATTTTGTAATCCTAATATTTTTCTACTTATTCATTTATCTATAACTTATATTTTCAAATTATTTCACCAATTTCCTAAATAATTCCTTTTTTCATATAATTTTTGCCCTATTAATTTCCGTGAGTGTATTAAATCGAGTAAAATTTTACATTAGAATTACATAACAAGATCTAAAGTAATTAGATGATAACTTTCTTCTGAAATTATCATGAGCAATAGTCCTCCTAATACTAGATCAAGAAAAAGATATAGACAAGTGCAATTTGATTTAAACCGATCTTCACCTTACGTATTGCGAAAAGTCCCAAAACCTAATACTCCTAAAACTCAGTCTAAACCTAAAACTAAAATCGATATGGCTCAAAGTAATAAGCCTAATGAACAGATTAGAGATATGTCCCATACCATCATGTCTAGCACTCCTAATCCGACACAAGCCGCGAATGTTTTGCCTACAGATCTTTTAGCTCAGGGTACTAGTAAACAGTTTGAAGAATCAGTTAAGCAATTAGTTCAACAAGGTGTTAACTCACAGTTATCCGAGATTAAGAAGACCATGGCCGAATTGACATCAACAGTCAGCAGATTAAGCATAGTGGTACAACAAACTCAGCAGGAAAACCGCAAACTAAAAGAAGCCAGTGTATCCAGAACTGCCAGTGATGGAAACATGCAAGTCGACGCCTCCGAAATACAACTTCCATCAGCTCCGTCATCAAGAGCCACATCAATATGTAGTGAGGAAACAAGAAACTACAACAGACCCCGTATCGACAAATGGGGATTAGAATTCGATGGGGACAACAACAAATTAGCTGTCGAAGACTTCGTGTTCCGTTTAGAACGACTGCAAAGCCAATATGGAGTATCCTGGAAGGAGGTTTTAGATAATTTCCATCTTTTAGTTAAAGGATCTGCAGAAAAATGGTATTGGTTGTTTATACAAACCAATTACGTCACCGAATGGTCAACTTTAAAATCAGCCTTGTTAAAACAGTACCAAGCAACCAGATCCAGCTTTGAACTGATGAGAGATATGGTCGAAAGAAGACAAATGCCAGGAGAATCGATCGATGCTTTCTTTTTTGCCATGACTCAATTTAGGTCTCGTCTTAGCATCTCTATGCCAGAGGCTGAAATGATAAAAATGATTAAGAAAAATCTCAGAGAGAATATTGGCAGAATCGTTTACCCGATGGCAGTTTCGTCAGTGGAAGAATTGAGGATGAGTTGCCTAGATGCCGAAAAAACTTTCCTTAAAAGAGATTTTCGTCAACAGCCAGCGGTAGGAAACAGGTACCAAAGACAAATTAATGAGTTGTATGAAGATGCTGAAACTCAACCTGTTCGTGAAGAAACTTTTGAAGAAGTAGCGGCCGTTAGACTAGTTAATGCCAGCAATTCCACCCCAAGGCAACCATTAGTATGCTGGAACTGTCGCCAAAATGGACACATGTTCATGGATTGTCCAGCAGAAGAAAGAGCAATTTTCTGTTACCGTTGTGGAAAACCTGACGTCATAGCCCCTAATTGTGCCAATTGCCGCGATCGAAATTTTCCCAGGAACGAAGGGAGAGCGGGGGACCATCGTTCAACACACAACCCGCAGGGACATCTGCAAGAACAATAAAAACAAATTTAATAAAAGAAGCAAAGAAATTCAACAAATTTTTACCCCAGCAACGACATTTATACACTCTCGAAGATCGTCAAAAGAACTATGAATCCGTCCGAAATAGAATCTTTAACGCCGAAATCTCCATTCCTCGTCCAACAATATCTAGAAGGATTAAAATGCTAAGACAAAAGTTCGCCGAAAGAAAACGAAGTAGAAAACTTACCATTGAGGCAATAAAAACAGCTGATGAGAAATCTTCTGATCCCAGACCATATGC